CTTCTGCTCACTCTGAGGGCTTCCTGTAGCTTTATGATAAATTCCAAAGTTGGTAACAAGTTCCTTCATGACTGACATGTGCTCTAGCTCTTCGAATGTCTTTCCCATTTGCTCTCTGTGCCTTCCTGCATACAAGGGAAGCAAGCCAATATTATGAGAACAAATTGCCACTCCTGGCTCTCCTACTCTTTAAAGTTTCCCAAATTTACCTGCCCTCTCCTCCTCTCTACAGGATTATGCTTACTTGCATCCTCTGATTCAGTGCAACTACATACAGCTCTCCCCTCACAGCCTAATGAGGAAAGTTTTATCACTTGCCAAGAGAAGCATCCATGAGTCCTTAACCACCAATGTGGTTCCCTCATCCTTTTCATTCCTGTATCTGAAGATCCTCATACAGCTACTCTTAGTTCCCATTAACATTCTCTTTAGTTGCAAATGAGTTATAGTCTCCTTCAGCTAAATTAGTAAACAGAAGGTTGGCATCCATCTTCCCAAGAAACTTAAACTTTTTTCCATGTCAGCTCTTGTTCTGGGCGTGGAAACAAATAGAAGATGTCATTCATGTCTCCAGGGGCTGACATTTGCTTGAGGTTGCTTATGTCAACATGCTTTATTCACTGTTCTTTTGTTCCTTCCTACTTCCCTCTCACAGTGCATCAGACTTCTCAGGTTCCTCTAGGTTTTCTTAAAGGGAGGAACAAAAGCTCACTGCAGAATTTATTCTTTCCGAGGCAACAGAAGATAGGATAGAAAGTCCTCTTCGGACAGAGGACTTTCTTCTCAGTAGAAAGCCCAAGTGGAGGTTCCTAGCCCTAGAGAATCACAAATGAGAGAGTTGAAAGATCAGTGTGAAGCCTGTGAAGTGACTTGGGCCAAATGGAAGGCAACACTAGGGTCATCAAGGCATAATGCAAAGGAATCAGATGGGCTCAGGGACTCCAGGAGTGTGGCCCCAGAGACATCTCTTTGTTCCAGATGCCTTAGGGCATATCCTATGGATCATGGCTCAGTCATGCTCAAGGTTGAGAGACCGGAGTCTGTGGCCACAGCTCTTGGAACACTCCAGATAGGTCCTTCCAACACTGAAACTAGAAAGAAGAGTAGAGGGATAACATGGCTCACTTAGTCAACTTATGTCCTTGGAAATGCCATTTGGTGGCTGTAGTAGTTAATGTGTGTCAGCTTGGCTGGGCTGTGATTTTGCATGGCAGCTGGATACAGTTATTCCCCACGATGAGATTGAACATGGTGTAAGCATCTCCATGTTGGAACCTGCTGTGAGCAGTTAATCAGTTGAAGGAGAGTTGCCTTTGGGGTGTGGCCTGTTTCCAGTGTATATAGAAAGGATCCTGGATTTGGTTCAGTCTTCATCTCCTGTTCCTGGACTTGAACCAGTGGCCTGCTATGTTGCCTGATTTTGGGATTGTGCCATTTTACCTGCCAATCTTGGGTTCATCAGCCTCAGGAGCTGCGGGAGTTAGGAGAAATCTCCAGCTTGCTCTGGTGGGCCTGGAACAAAAGGCAGAGCTGAAGCCCAAGATTAAGGGCACTCCACTTAGGCCCTAGAGCCAGCACTCTAAACTTGGACTTCCAGCCTCCTAAACTATAAGAATAAATTCCTGTTTGTTAAAGCCATCCACTTGCGGTATTTCTGTTATAGCAGCACTAGAGAATTTAGACAGTGGCTGAACATGTCAGTAGCCTCTTGTTAGGAGAAGAACTGGGCAAAACATGCCAAATTGATTTTGCCTGCTAATTTTCAGAATGTCTTAAGAACACAAAAAGAAAATTGAGCTGGATATACTAAAACAACAGCAACAAAAGGAATGATAACACGAGGACATTATGCTGAGTGAAATAAGTCAATCACAAAAGGATAAATATTGTATTAGTCCGTTATTGTAAAAGTTAAGGAAAGCTTTATCTATTGAAGGAAATTTTCTTTGTTGGTTACCAGGGGTGGGAGGGGAGAGAAGGGAACGCTGTTAGATAGATAGAGATAAATATTGATTTGGGTGAAGAGAAGGGCAATGTACCAAATGTGAGTGACCAATATGGCAGCATTG